CACCATCACCAGCATCATCATTTTCACCACCATCAGAAGTATCATCATCCACATCATTCGTCCTCGTCATCACTACATTATCATATCATACGTAACAATCGCCACCAGCATCATAAATCGCAGTCGCCATCGCTGTCACCACCATCACCATCATCATCGTCGCCATCATCATCATCATCGTCACCATCGTCCTCATCACCACCATCGTCGTCATCAGCATGTCCATCATCATCCTCATCATCATCCTCGTGATGGTCATCGGCATCATCATCGTCATCATCATCGTCACCATCATCACCATCATCATCATCAACAGACTGGTCGTCATCATCAACACCATCAACATCGCCACCAACATCGCCATCATCATCGCAGCTACCGTCAGCATCATCGGCACGCAAGCACACACACACACCTCACACGTTTCGATGCCCCATAGGGAGCTTCACCTAAGGTCTCAGTGGCGCCGTCCGCATGGCGGCGCCGCCCCATGTCGGCACACCCCTCACGCGCCTCGTGGTCCCATAGGGAGCTCCACCCAAGGTCCCAGTGGTGCCGTCCACATGGCGGCCAGAATATGATCGGCCCAGCGCTGGCCATCTCATGGTCACGAGGATGAGGATACAGACGGGCGGCCCATGCGCCCATCTATCCGTCGTGTAGCCGTTTTGGCTCCGACGCAAGTTTCGATTCCAGTCTCATCAGCTGGCCAACGATGTCAGATACGCAGCCTGAGTTTCTTCAAGACACTCATGTGCCCTCAACTGGGATGGCGATCAATGCTCTCAAGGACCTCTCGGCAGCGTTCAACCTTCTAAGAAGAGCTTGAACGACGACGGTGATGGGCATATTTCGTTGAAAAGCGGCAGCGTTGACTTGACCTCGGTTGATGACAGCCCCAGCCCTTGCGCCACTGCCAGCGCTACCATTTCCAGCGCAGGCGGTGCCAGTGCTACCAGTGCCAATGCTTCGCAAGTGGCAGCGCAGTCAGTCGCAGGAGTGGCCACTCCGCAGCCTGCTTGGCTGCACAAGCGGTCGAAGTATCATGGCCTGCCAGATCAGACGATGGTGCTCATGCACGAGGACATGCTTGGCCGCTCGGATCCTCGACCGCCAAAGCCATCCAGCGCGCCGCCAGCTACGCCGACGCCAATGGCGAAGCCACCAGCTACGCCGACGCCAGTGGCACAGCCGACCCCAGCTACGCCGACGCCAGCAGATCCGCCCACAGCTACGCCGACGCCAGTGGCGAGGCCGACTCCAGCTACGCCGACGCCATCGGAGCCGCCTACAGCTACGCCGACGCCAGTGGCGAAGCCGACCCCAGCTACGCCGACGCCATCGGAGCCGCCTACAGCTACGCCGACGCCGACGGCGGCGCCGCCTACAGCTACGCCGGCAGAGGTTGCGAAGCGGCGTCGGACGCTCGGCAGCCCAGTGGACCAGGAGAAGAAGATACAGTCCCAGTGGACGTGGACGACGCACAAGGACATCCCGCCGACGCTCCTGCCGTTCTACCAGGAGGCCAGCTCCTGGCGCCGCCTCAACGGAGAATGCACTCCGACGTTCTACGAGGTTAAGTTCACGATGAAGGCGTTTCGTGATGAGAAAGATTTGAATGGAGTTTGAGTTGAGTGGTAGATTTGAATGGAGTTTGAGTTTTGAGTGGCGCAGCTGGCTGGTCGCCAGAATGAGGGACACTCGTTTACAATTTGACTCTATTTGCGGCGTTCCAGACGCCAACATTCGCCTGGGGGTGAATATGGAAACGATCATCGTCATCCTTCCTCCTGAGGGTCCTCAGTCTCGTGCTCTTCCTCCTCCTTCTCCCCCTCCTCCTCCTCCTCCTCTTCCGCTTCCTTTTCCTTGCCTTGCGTGCGTTGTGGCATTACAAAGACACGATTTCACACCATGAGCCACCGAAAAAAATTAGCAAGCGCACCGCTCTGATTATCAGAGCTTTCACCGAGCCATTGCCCGTCGCAGCGCTGGGCGATAGTTTACAGTCGTGGCCTCGGCACCAAATTCTGAACCACAGTACGTACAGCGAGTCCCATAGCAGCGAACCGATACAGGAATTACACACCACTGCAGCAAATTCCATCATCAGAACATAACTCCCAATCATAAGGAATACGTCTGGCCAGGCTCAGCGATGATCATCAACGCCACAACTGAGCACGTCGGCTAAACATGCTGATTAAACAATTGCGTGTCAAATTAACTTGCACCCCGTATTCAAATAAACTGAGCACCAACGTGAAATTCACATTTATTCAACAATCGACGCAAATAGCCACATCACCCCTGCGTTGAGGTTAGCGTGCGGCTGCAACATCGAACTCGATGGCCCCTCAGGTGGCCACAACGGTTCGTCGGTGTCCTGCCGGCGAAGGAATGACTCCATGATTTGATTGATCCTGTAGTCTTTCGCGTAACTGTGGAAATCCTCGTAAGAGCCCGTGTCGCGACCCAACGCCCTCTTCTTCTGATGCTTGGTGGCGTCGCTCACTGTGCGAACTTGGACGGGGATGCACTCGCACACCCTGATGTTAACAGACACTTGCCTCCCACACTTGTACGCGAGTCCACCATCGCCGTCGCCCACGAAGAGCACTCGCCAACCACTCACAGTTGCCAGCGTGCACATGCTAATCAAATCGAACCTTCCATCACCACCGACGAAATTCATTGGGCCGATTGAACCAGCACTCGAAACTTTGACAACCAAGTCTCGGCCATCGCCTATAGTGGGAATCACATCTCCTGAAGCCCATTCAGCACAAATCTTGGGATGATATCCTTCGACATACTTGAGTAAGGCTATCTGAGATGGCGTCCCACTCACTCGGATTGCATCCCATCGCCTGCTGATTGATACCACCACCGATGACGGCAACTGACCGAGGATGGCTTCGTACGTCATGTTCTCATAGACCAGCCGTCTCTGCACGTTGCCTGGCTTGTGCTTGAGATATTTCCACAGAAGCGAGTCCAAATACTCACGATGGCCGCCTGGAGGGCATACACACGAAACCAACCACGATACATGACGAGCCCACCACCAATGAATCCTCATAGAGCTGAAATATATCGCGCGCTCTCACAGCGACTCCTAGTTGTCGCAAACGTGGTCCATTATGAGCCTCGAGCGCCGTTGTATCTATGTCAGAGACTTCCCATGCTTGTAGATTCTGCACATCGCAACCCTGGCCCGCCATGGAAAACTCGCCCGACTAAGTCAGTATATGATCGCCCCACTTCGCCAAAGGCGCGAGGCGCAGCTCAAAAACAAAGCTCATTGGGCCAGCAGGTTCACGGAGCAGATCGGGGGAGGGGGAACGGATGGCCTGCTCAGGAAGGGGGCGGGGGGTGGAGTGAGTTATTCCGCTATGCTCTGCTATGCTATGCTATGCTATGCTATGCTATGCTATGCTATGGCATGCTATGGCATGCGGTGATATGGGACGCTAACTTATGGTATGAAATGATTGAATATGCTGTGCTATGCAAGTGCTGTGATATGGCGTTCCCCGCTGGTTCACGTGCGTGCATACATGCATATAGACAGTTGCGCGCTCACATCTAACACGTGCGTGCACATAGATATGTGTACATGCACAATTTGATATGTTAGCATGGTTGGCAATCATGTGCATACGCATGTTCGTGGACACGCACTTTTGAACGCGGTGTGTATATATATACATAGGTATATATAGATATATGTATATATGTGTATATACATATATACATATATATACATATATGTATGGCACTTATGTACAAGGACACGAACGATCATGTGGCACATACTATCACGTAAGAAAACGACAGGCCATTTCGGGGACCAACGGGGGCCCCCTAAGTGCACTAGAGATAACCGACCGAAGCGTTCGAAGACCGATGCCGCTACTCCTCAGACCTCTCCAGAGGTGTGCTCTGACCAGAATTGCGAGGCCAGTCCAGCCGGGGCGACGAGGGCCTCGGAAGACGAGGCAATGGGAGGGGTACTGGCACCTGTTCCTCCTCTGCGCATCGGGCGCAGGCGGGACTGGCGCGGGCGGGACCGGGTAAGGATGGGCACCAGGGAAAGCCCCCACGCCGCATTCCACGAGCCCGAGCTGCCGTCACCCGAAGAAGCAACTGCCACGGCAGACTTGGTCTAATAATCCTGGTTCACCTGATGGGCTCCGGGTCCCGGGCGCTTACCGGCTCCCCATCCACCCGGGTCCTGGCTTCTGGGCGTAGGGGGAGGGGGGAAGGCTTCTTAGAAGGAGGCTGCGCCTTCGAAGGCGCGGGCCTTACATCTACAGAGAAGGTCCGCGCCTTCCAAGGCGCAGGAGTGCTTCTAAGAAGGCTCCCCCAAGGCCCACACCATCTAAGAAGCAGCCTCCTTCGAAGAAGCCTTCCCCCCTCCCCCTCCCCCCTCTGCGCGTGGCCGACACTGGCTCTCAACAGGGGTCCTGGCTACGTTTAGGTCGGGCATGTCCCCTACAAGCGGATTTTGGCAGAAAAATTTTAAAAATACATCCCCAATGCTCAAAAGTACCGCAGAGATTCAAAAACATCGTCCCCTGACTATTTCTTTAACTATCTTTGCATACTCCTCCGGTGGTGGGACAGGCCCGACCTGAGGCTACGCCCGAGAGCCGGGTCGGGCGAAAGGGGGGGATAGCAAAGGGGGGGGGGGTGAGAATCGGCTCACGTAGCTGACTTTCCCGGCGCCAGAGGCGGCTATGTATCGAGGAATGCGCCCCTCGGTGAGGCCGAAACCAGCTGCATGCAGCAAATTTCGTAACCCCCCCTTTCCCAATCCCCCCCTTTCGTCCAGCCCGAGGAGGAGGAGGAGGAGGAGGAGGGAGGAGGAGGAGGAGGAGGAGGAGGAGGAGGAGGAGGAGGAGGAGGAGGAGGAGGAGGAGGAGGGAGGAGGGAGGAGGGAGGAGGGAGGAGGGAGGAGGGAGGAGGGAGGAGGAGGAGGAAGAGGACGCGAGGGCGACCTGCGCGAGCCCCGCGGCGAGGTTCAGGAGGAACACCAGGGCCAGCGGGGCGCACACGGCGAGGCCCTGGAAGGCCCCGCGGCTCGTGGCGAGCAGCCCCACCGCCGTGGAGCGGGCCGCCTCCCCGAGCCGCGCCGGCACCTTTCCGGGGAGCGGCGCGCGGAAGCGTCTGCGATCGCCACCACTTACCAGCCTCGAACAGATCCCTATCCCTAAGAGTGACACGCCAACAGGCGATGACAATCTCAGGGATTCGCCCTGAAAAACTAAGGGAATCCCTAAGATTGGCATCGTGACGAGGAGATGCCCAACATAGGGATAGGGATATGTTCCAGGCTGGTAAGCCACTGGGGGGCGTTCGAGGGGCCCAGAGATCCAGCGCACTGGAACAGTCAAGGCGCAGGCGTCGTCGCCGCTTGCGGCCTCCCAGGGGCCCTCGCCGAGCCCCGGGAGCGTCAAAAAACGATGCGGGATGGAACACCCTGGTCCTGGGGAATGGGTCGAGCCTCCGGGGGACCCCGCATTACAAGAAATCGCGACGTCGGATCTCGTGGAGGGGAGCGTCCACGGGGGGGGGGGGGCGCAAACCACGGCCCGAGGCATGTGCGCGGCTCGGGGGGGAGGGGCAGGGAACGAGTTGAAGCAAGACGTGGGGCCATGACACCCGGGGATCTGGGGCGACGCCATGGTCCTGGCCATCACATCGCCCCCGACCCACGGCGCCCCGCAAGGCGACCAAGCAGTGAAATGAACAGATCGAGCAAGGAAGATGTGAAACACGGTCGCTTCGGATCTGGGTCGCTGGCTGCGGCCGAGCTCCCTAGCGCGACCGAGCGATCAACAAAAACAGGAACGATGTCAAACACCGTTGATTCTAATCTGGGCCGCTGGCTGCAACCTGGCGTGCTCAACGGCGACGACGACGACGACGAGCCCTGAATATCTTTTTGAGCGTTCACTTCCCAGCGGGGCACTGCCTCCCCCCGCCCATGGTCCCCCGGGCATTTCTCCAGCGCGTCCAAAAGCGCGCAAAGCGGATGTAACGCATCTCCCCACATGACGCCATTGAAGGCTGTTCGGCGCTACTGGAAGCTATGTGGCACGATTTGGCGCTAGTAAGCTTTGTGTGCGCTAGTGGGCGCGGTGCGAGCGCTCTTGGGCGCTGTTCGCCGGTATGATTTCAGTGCAAGACGAGTGGAAGCTTCCATGACTTGCTATCTAAGAACCTCCTTCCTGGCCCTGTCCAGGATCTCGTCGATCATCGCCTCGCAGCCGTCGAGGGGCCTCTTGAGGTCCTGTGGAGCCAGTCGGCACCGAATCGAATCGGGAGATCGGATATCGAGTCAGCAGGTGCGTCGGGTCGGGCCGCATCGCCACGGAATCCAGATCGGATCGGAGCGACCGCGACGAGTTGCACAAGAGCGGCAGGCCAGCATCGGGCCGTATCGGATCGCCGGAACATCGGAGTGAAGTTGGATAAGGTTAACTGGAGTCGGCATCTATTCGGCTCGATCGGCTTGACAGTCGCGTGGTCCTGCGGGTCTGGGATGTCAAAGTCTGGGTCTAGTTTCTTGATCGCGTCTTCGAACTGCTGCATCTTCGCGAGGGTGGGCCTCTGTTCCTCCACCATGCTGTCGATCATACCGTCGAGCTTATCCAGAGGCTCCTGCAGCATGTCGTCGACGGTGTCGAGGGCCTTGAGCACGGCGTCCGCCAGCTTGCCGAACAACTTGTTGAGCAGATCGAAGATGACCTCCGACCTCTAGGTGAAGAAACAACTGCGCAGACATGTAACACATTCTCGAGTCCGCGAGGAGTGCTTGCATCGGCGCTGGACCACGCCCCCTGGCGCGAAGCACACGCCTTCGGGTGCCCAGCGCCGACCCAAGAGATCGGCGCGGACCTCCAGAAGCTCATGCCCGTGCAGCCCCTCTCTGAAGGGGAACTGGGACACACAAATAAATACACACAAATAAAATGATTCCCAATATTGTCCCAAATTTTCTGGGTTTTTGTCTTCCCCCCCACTTCCCATATTTTCCCATATTTTCTGGGAATCGCAGATTAATTGTGTCTCTGTGTGTTTTTTTCCCTCCTAACTCTCGCCCCCCGCGCCTCGCCCTCCACGTGTGCGCCAGCCCCGCCGTGCAGATGGCGCAGGACGCGACGGCGGAGAGCAGCGGCCCGGCCGTGGCGCCGAGGCGCAGGACGCCCAGCCCCGCCGACACCGCCACGGAGGCCGCCGAGGCGGCGAGGCAGAGCGCCAGCCGCCAGGGCCCGTCGCCGCCAACGGCGGCGGCCGCGCGCGCGCGCTCCTGCAGCTCCTGGCGCGCGCGCTCGGCCTCGGCGCGGGCCGCCTCGGCCTTCGCCCTCCTCGCCGTGGCCCTCTGCGGCCACGCGCGGGGAGCCACCCCCCTTTGGGCCCGGCGGGGGCGCCCCGGCTGCGCGGCCTCTGCCAGTCGCTGCGCGCGGCGCGGCACTGTGCAGCGGCCTGCGTGCTCGGGCCCCGCCTCCCCGGCCGGAGGCCGCGCAGGCGGGGCCCCTCCGCCCAGGGGTCGCTCTCTCCCCGGAGGTCCGACGCCGCGGGCAAAGGCCCGACCCCACGGAGAAGGGCCTCAGCACCGTGGAGCGACACTCGGCCAGAGCCCTGGGCCCCAGCGCCCCGAAGCATGCTTCGAGCCGAATCGACCCGCGGGGGCACCGGGGCCCGAAACTGGGCGAGGCCGCCAGGTGTGAAGAGAGTTGCAGCGCCTGGATCTCAGGGTTCCCGCGTGGCCGACCTCTGGCGCCCCTCCGCGGGAGCTGGGCCGGCCGCCCCCTCGCCTCGGGCGTGGACTGCAATGGAGGCCGGTCCACAAGAAACCTTCGACAAGAAACCCAACCCTGAGGCCCCGGGACGTCCATCGATTTGTGGTGTGGGAGCGTCGCGCTGTCCATAGAAAAACAATGAAACTCCAAGAAACCCAGGGCACCCTGGAGGCAAGCGGGGTGTTCCTCGGCATGGGTCTCCACTATTATGGGTGGGGGGGTGCGCCGGAACGTGTTGAGTCTGTCGCGTGCGGCTGGTCTGGAGATGGGCCTGGACGTCGCGACAGATGGTAACGTACCTATAGGACCACCCTTCGGGTGATCAGGAGGTTCGGGGGGGGAGGAACCAACGTCTCACTCGATCGGTCTCACTATCGATCTCACTATCGGTCTCACTATCGGTCTCGCACGATCGATCTCACTCGATCGATTTCACACTCGACCTCACTCCATCTATTTCATTCGATCGATCTCACAATCGATCTGATTATAGATCGCACAATCGATATCACTATCGATCTCACTATCGATCTCACAATCGATCTCACATTCGGTCTCACTATCGATCTCACGATCGATATCACCATCGACATCACACTCAACGTCATCATCATCATCATCATCATCATAATCATCATCATCATCAACATCATCGTCATCAACGTCATCAACATCAACATCTTCATCATTATGGGGACACCATCATCATCATCACCTCATAGCCATGATCATCAACATCATCATCACCATCATCATCATCGGGACACAATCATCGTCACCACCATCATCAACATCATCGCCATCGGATCACCATCATCACGATCGGGGCACCACCATCATCACAACACCATCAACATCATCGTTATCATCGGGACACCATCATCATTATCTGCAACATCATCATCATGCACATCATAATCACCGGGACACCATCATCATCGCCACCATCATCATCATCATCACCATCATCATCATCATCATCATTATCATCATCATCATCGGGACACCATTATCATCAACAACATCAGCATCATCGTCATCACCATCATCGGGCCACCATCATCCAAATCATCAATATCACCTCATCATCATCCTCACCATCAACATAATCATCATCGGGACACCATCATCGTCATCATCAACATCTTCATCATCGGGACACCATCATAGGCGCCATCATCATCAACAGCATCCTCATCCTCATCATCATCATCATCGGGACGCCATCATCAACATCATCAATATCATCACCATCTCATAATCATCCCATCATCATCAACATCACCATGATCATCAACATCATCACCATCATCGGGACACCATCATCGTCATCAGCAACATCATCGGGACACCATCATCAACAACATCATCATCATCGAGACGCCATCATCATCGTCACCACCACCATCATCATCATCATCAACATCGTCAACATCATCATCACCATCATCATCATCAGCATCATCATCATCGGGACACCATCATCATCACCATCATCACCATCATCACCATCATCAACATCATCATCAACATCATCGACACCATCATCATCATCATCATCATCAGCAGCAGCATCATCATCATCATCATCATCATCATCATCATCATCATCATCATCATCATCATCATCATCATCATCATCATCATCCTCATCATCATCATCATCATCATCATCATCATCGAGACACCGACGGGACACCGGCGGGACACCGGCGGGACACCGCGGGCCACAGGCCCCCGGAAAGGAATCATTTGGTCCGGCCGCGCCTCAGCCGGAGGCGGGACACTGGCGGGACACCGCGGGCCACCGGCCCCCGGAAAGGAATCATGTGGTCCGGCCGCGCCTCAGCCGGAGGAGACTCTCTTCTCGCCCGCCCACGCAGCTTCGCCTCGCCCGCACGCACGGCACGCACGAGCACGAAACCGAAACCGATTTCCCGGTAGGGGGGGTTCTCCGTTCCACTTCGATCTCACCCCCTCACCTCCGATACTCTATCTGCCGCTTGAGCCGCCAACTCCCTCTCAGCAAAAAGGCCTTGACCGTCAACTCTCTCTCTTAATGAAAGGATTGGGCCGTCAACTCTCCGAGTTGACGAACCCCCTTGACCGCGTCCTTCCGAATTGACGAGCCCCCGTGACGGCCTCCTCTCGAACTGACGAACACCCTTGACGGCCTCCGTCCGAGTTGACGAGCCCCTATTGGCGGCGTCCCTCTGAGGTGACGAACCCCCTGACGGCTCTCCGAATTGGCGAAATCCCCCTTGACGGCCTCCCTCGCCGCACGCTCCGTCTTGACGAAAAAAACGTCGGGGCCGTGCTGACGGTTAAGACCGACGGGGCCGAGTTAACAGCTCCTCTCGTCTTGACGAACGAAGTGTTGGAGCTTTTCGTTGACGACCGTTTTCGTCTCCATGAACGTAGTCTTAGGGCCGAGTGGACGTGTGAAGTGTGCGGGACGAGTCGACGACCGTTGTGGGCGCTTCTCCAGACATGCGCCGTCTCGGCCTCTGGGATGGCCTCCAGGAGCGTGCACCTGACTACCTACCAGACCACCCCAACCCAACCCGAAGACCCGAATTTGACCCGAATTTCGGGTTGGGGGGGTACGGATACCATATGTTTTTTCAACATTCCCCGACCCCCCCCACTGGAAATCGAGGATAAATTTGGGCCTTCGGGTTGGGTTGGGGTGGTTTGGTGGGTGGTGAGCACCCACCTTTCGTGCCCCTCTTGGGCCCCAGGGGTCCCCGTTGGGGCCCCTCTATCAGGCACGAGAGGCACGCTGCAGCCGGACCTGGGCCAAAAGAACCTCCCTCTCAAGAACACGAGGCCCTCCTCCTCCTCCTCCTCCCCCTCCTCCTCCTCCTCATCCTCCTCCTCCTCCTCCTCCTCCCTCCTCCTCCTCCCTCCTCATCCTGCTCATCTTCCTCTCCTCCCTCCTCTCCTCCTTCCTCTCCTCCTCCTCCTCCTCACTCCTGCTTCAGCACACCTCCTCCTCCTCCTCCTCCTCCTCCTGCTTCAGCACACAGAACACCTGGGGCGACCCTGCAGAAGGTACCGATACCACTACTCCCCAGACCTCTCCCAGGGTGCGCTCTGACCAGACTTCCGAGGCGAATCCAGCGGTGGCGACGAGGGCCTCCCAGGAGGCCTCAAAGAGAGAAACGGGCGAAGGGTAGCGGTATGGGTACCTTGTCCTTCTCTGAGACCCTCCCC